CTGGACGAGAACTCTGCTCACAGGATGCTGCCAGGGGTAAGACAGTGTGATTGCATGACACTGGTGATGGGGATGCCATACAGATTCATGTCAAAAATCCCGAACTATCCCTTTAAAGGGAACATCAGACTTAACTATGGTTCTATTCATTCTGTATAAACAAAGCATATTTAATAAATCAAAAGCTTTATTTGAGCAGCACATTTCATACACAATGAAAATACAATGAAAATGATCGGTACAAATCCATTTATCACTAAATAGTCCAGGTGACTAGAAAGGGCTTTACAAATTCCAACTAATGTTTCATAATTGCATGAAAATCTTAAAAACAAATAAAAACCCAAATCATCATTAGAACAATATTAGGAGAGGCCAAATAAATCCGGTTCATTATGAGGCGTGCTGCGTCAAAAAGGCTCGAATTCTTAGCAGAAGGTCCCTCTTTACACTGTCTGGCACCAAAGCTGCAACAAAGAGACACAGATGAGTTGTTTTCCTCTTCCTTGCTTGTTAGTATAACTGTAAACTGTTTTTATGAAGCAGGATAAAACTGAACTATTTCCATTTATTCCTCATGTTGCTGCTTCATCATTTCTTTTCTTTCCAGGTATGTTGTCAGGTTACAAAAACATGCAGTGCAGGAACACAGGAGGAGCAAATGAGGAGGAGTTTTTGGAATATCAAGTTCTGTTTTTTTACCTTTAAGGTATATCTGTCACCATTTGGACTAAACCTCAAACCAAGAAGAAAACCAGCTTGGAATGTTGTCCTCTGCTAATCCTATGTTTATTATCTGTTCTGTCGGAACAAATAAAATTGTTCTGATGCATTTCTGATGAGAATAGTATAAGAATTGGGATTTAGGTTGAATTCAGCTGGTTCTGGGTCTCCTTTTATTTATTTTTAATTTTTTTTTTCCACCTGGGGATCATTTATTTTATTTTCTGAGGGCTCTCCAGAAAGATGACAATAGGAGCACTAAACCATGAAATTGTGCTGAATATGTTATGTCCTATTCTTATGCATCATGAAATAAACTTGATAAATAAAAAAGATGTCGTAATATTATATGATGATCAGATTCAATAGCTCATTGAAATACAACTGTTTT